CTGACAGTTCACTCTCACAGCTCATCATGAGAAGGTGACTCGAGTGGAATTCGGTATTGCCAGAATATGAATTTCTTGAATTCTGGCAGTCTGCTATATATCTGGGAAGAACTTTGCAACATAACAGTGGGATGGTAGTCGGGACACACTTAGTTGTGTAAAGTTCAGAACAGAGAACATTATATGCCTAGTGAACCTTGCTTGACCACTGGTGATCTTTAGACCTGAAGGTACTGAGCCTGTGCAGTTGAGCTACAAGACCAGTACAGGAGTTAATTTTGGTCTTCTGTTTTGTTTTGAATCCAAGAGAGCATTCATTCATATTACAAATGAATCTGAATTGTTGAACCAGAAAATAAGCTGTTAAAGGAGAAAGTCCTCTCTTCCCTACCACAAGCCTGGTCTTGACCTACTATTCTGCTCTTCTGTCTCACAAAATACTTCCTCCTCTTCCTTTCAAACCAAAAAAATACAATTGTGGATTGGGGCTTTTTACTTTTGATTTAACAGGGTGAGACACAAAGTAATTAATCCAAATTCTTTTCTGCATTTTTAGCCTTTTTCTTATCTCAGCCTGCTTACCCATGCAGCTTTTAGTATGGCTTGAAGAAGATGATATAAAGTATCCTAAGTGTGATTCACAACATGAAATACAGTAAGTGGGAATTACACAGATATATCAGAAACTTAGACATTCTGCAAGGACACATCTCCTGTTGTTCACAAGGGACACTTACACCCGTGCCCTGACAAAAGAAAACCAAATTTAAAACCTCTGATAAACTAGCCAGTGGAAGTTGAGTTTTTGCCCCATGTTTACAAGTGGGATGAGCAGGTAGAATTTTGAGATTCTTCAACTGCAGTAACCCACTGAAACTAGGGTTCTCTTTGCTGTGATCTTCATGAACAAGTGTAATCTTCATGAACAAATCTTTGGAAGCCATGTTTCTTCCTGTCTTGTCTAGTTGTCATCTGGGTAGTTTAATGGGATTTTTCTTAATTGTTTTGTGTGTTTTTGGTTTGGTTTTCATTGCTTATTTTTTGTTTTTATGAAGATGACCATTCACATTCTTCCTTGAAATGATTCTTCCTCTCCACAGTCTCCTAGCTTAATTCAGAAGTGAGATACAAGCTTAAGAAAGGGGGAAAACAAGCTGGTTTAGACAGGTATTTAGAATTGTTTAGGTTGGAAAAGACCTTTAAGATCATCAAGTCCAACCATTAACCTAGCACTGCCAAGTCTACCACTAAACCATGTCCCTAAGCACCACATCTACATGGCTTTTAAATATCTCCAGGGGTGGTGACTCAACCACCTCCCTGGGCAGCCTGTTCCATTGCTTGACAACCCTTTCAGTGAAGAAATTTTTCCTAATTTTCCAATCTAAGCCTCCCCTGGTGCAACTTGAGGCCATTTCCTGTCGTTCTATTGCTAGTTACTTGTGAGAAGAGACTGACACCCACCTCACTACAACCTCCTTTCAGGTAGTTGTAGAGAGCAATAAGGCCTCCCCTCAGCCTCCTCCAGGCTAAACAACCCCAGTTCCCTCAGCTGCTCCTTGTAAGACTTGTGCTCCAGACCCCTCACCAGCTTCGTTGTCCTTCTCTGGACACGCTCCAGCACCTCAATGTCCTTCTTGTAGCGAGGGGCCCAAAACTGAACACAGAATTCAAGGTGCGGCCTCACCAATGCCGAGTACAGGGGCACAATCACTTCCCTACTCCTGCTGGCCATGCTGTTTCTGATAGAAACCAGGATGCTGTTGGCCACCTTGGCTACCTGGGCTTGGAGTCAGCCAGCTGTCAACCAGCACCCCCAGGGCCTTTTTCACCAGACAGCTTTCCAGGCACTCTTCCCCAAGCCTGTAGTGTTGCATGGGGTTGTTGTGGCCCAGGTGCAGGACCTGACACTTAGCCTTGTTGAACCTCATACAGTTGGCCTTGGACCATCAATCCAGCCTGTCCAGATCCCTCTGTAGAGCCCTCCTACCCTCCACCAGCTTAACACTCCCACCCAACTTGGTGTCACCTGCAAACTTACTGAGGGAGCACTTGATCCCCTCATCTAGATCACTGATAAAGATATTAAACAGAACTGTCCCCAAAACTGAGCCCTGGGGAACATCACTTGTGACCAGCTGCCTACTGGATTTAACTCCATTCACCGCAACTCTTTGGGCCTGTCCATCCAGCCAGTTTTTTACCCAGTGGACAGTACACCTGTCCAAGCCATGAGCAGCCAGCTTCTCCAGGAGAAATGCTCTCAGAAATGGTGTCAAAGGCTTTACTAAACAAAAGTCTACGTAGACAACATCCACAGCCTTTCCCTCATCCACTAAGTGGGTCACCTTGTTATAGAAGGAGATCAGGTTAGTCAAGCAGGACCTGCCTTTCATAAACTCATGCTGACTGGGCCTGATCACCTGGTTGGCCGGTACCTGCTGCATGATGGCACTCAAGATGATCTGCTCTGTAACCTTCCCCAGCAGCAAGGTCAGACTGGCAGGCCTGTAGTTCCTCAGATGCTCCTTCTGTCCCATCTTGTAGATGGACGTCACATTTGCCGACTTCCAGTCAACTGAGGTGTCCCCAGTTAGCTAGGACTGCTGGTAAATGATTGGAAGGACACATCCACTAAATCAGTGTCAGTAGTTCAAGCTAGCTTGGTAACTGGGTCCAGCTTTTTGCTTTGTTGCTTGTTGTTTGGACTCTGTCAGGCTGCTTGGAAGGTATTTGTCCCCATTTTGTGGTCTGTTCACAGAGGCAGAACAGCTTTGCTGCTACTTCATGAAGCAAGAGGTCATTAGGTAGCTCATGCTGTGAATATGACTAACTAAACGTAAGGTGTCTGTTAACCAACACTGCTTCAACTGAAATGCGAGTCAGGTATTGCTGTCTTTCTTTGCATGAGGGTATCATGAATAAATTACCTCTGTAGTCTGACAGTTTCTGTAGTCCAGCCTCACAGCAAGATCAAAAAGGTTTCATGGGCTTCATGTCTTTGAAGCAATAGTGTTGTCCTCAGTGTAAGATGTACTTTTTTTAGTTGGCTTTGAGAAATTTCAGTGTCCTGGATAACAGCGTCTTAATTTCTTTACCATCTCGTGGTAGTGTTCAATGTGAATAACTGAAATACAGAATTGACACGTAGGCAGTGAAGCTGACTGTAGGTTTGGTAAGTCTGCCCTCCTGAACATCAGGCTCTTGTTGCAGTGCTGCCACAGCAGAGCTCTGTATTACATTTAGCGTAACTTGTGATGTTAAGTTGCACTGTTTTTTCTACCAGAGTGTAATCTCTTCCATTGTCAAAAAGGCCAAAACCTTCATACCAAATTTTTCTTAATTGCATCAATGGTGTAACTTCAGGAGAATTGTATTTGGTCTCTGTATTGCTTAGGCTTTGACTAAACTAAAACCTGTATTTGCTAGTACTTCTGATTCCTACTCTTGCATAAACATAGAATCTGTTAGAGAAGAGCAGAAACATGGTTTGCCAGTCCATTGCATCTCATCAAAGTCAAATTATAAAGTCTAATTTCTGAAAGGAAAACATTTTAATACTGGTAATTACTGTTCTGGTGAAATATTGAGTCTGGAAACAGCTGAATTACATCAATTAAAATCCTCAGTTAACTTCTGTTAGGGAATAATTTAAAACAACCATAGTAGTACATTACCCTTTACTTGCTGAAGACACATAATTCTTGCTATCGAGTGACAGATACGCATGGACTGGTTGGAAAGTACTGCAAAGGGAGGGCTTTTAAATGTTCAGATTTGCCTTAATGATTTTATAAAAAAAAGTCTGCGAAAAATCTCCTGCAATGAATGTGACCCTCAACAGTAATATTTATATAGTGTAATTAGAGTGTTTGTTAGGCATCCCGTTATTGTTCACAATGTAATTAGACTTAGAATCCAGTAAATGTGACATACTACAATGTTCTGCTTTGTAAACATTATTGACTCCATTTTAAAACTGAGGTTGCCTCATGCCAACAAATAAAAGAAAATCATGGCCTCATAAAAACTTCTAATTATTTAGATGTGCACTCTGTGGGTTCCTGGTGCAGTCAAAGTTGAGACTGAACCAAGGTGAATATTGAACACAGGTGCAAGCTTCAGTGTAGGTGATTTGCCAACCTCCCTTTATGTAAAGCTCAGCTGTCTACTTAAATCTCGCTAAGTTTGAGGGAAAGGATGCAAATCTGTATAACTTTTTAACCTCGTTTGCACAGGCATATTTATATTGTGCTTCTACCTTATTTTTCATGTTTCTAGAGAATAGCCAGATATTGATTTGTTGGTAATCCATGTGTAGCCATGTATGTGTATTGATCAGGTAGTTATTCACTCATGGGGGGTAACTGAAAACAGGCTTGGCTAAACAGTTCATCTTTTAGGGATGAACTTAATTTTTTGTAAATTTTGTTATATCTAAAATGGACAGGAACTTGGATACTAGATTATTTAAGCAGTAAGCAGAATGGGCCATCACTAAAACCGAATTTTTATTTCGTGTTTGCTGTTAAAAGACCTTTCATAAAACTGTTGTCTTTGTGTAACTACTTGTACCATTCATTTTTTCAACTCAATGAAAATGAAAGGATCAGAGTCTTTTAGGCTCTGCTCTATTGAGACCTCTGTGTGCTACACGAGCTCAGGATGGCCTGCTTATCTTCATTAGCCTGTGAGAGCATTTGTTGTCCTTGTCTCTCTCTGCAATGGTCTTTGTTAGTCAAAAGACTTTATTAGTCAAAAGTATCTTAAAATACTGGTAGTAATTTTCTGAAGAGTACAAAGTGATTGCTTTCAGGAATGAGAACAGATTCTAGATAGGAGGCTTTTTTGAGATAAACTTCACTTTTATTGCAATAGCTATTAGATGCTGTTTCTACTGTCAGGCACTGTACAGAGCAAAAGACAGGTGATAGTAGAGCATCTATAGTCTAGGTAGCTTGCTCTAATTGCAATCTCTCACTGTGAAAACTTTCCCACAGCTGTGCCAGCAAACATTGCAGACCTGAGAAACATAGAAGTGCTCAACTTTTTCAACAACCAGATTGAGGAGTTGCCTACACAGATTAGCAGCCTTCAGAAGCTCAAACACCTGAATCTTGGGTGCGTATCTTAATGCAAAAATTTGCTGTAATAGAGGTATTGTCAAATGTTGTTGCAACTGAACCTGGAATTTCTTATTTTTTGGTATTAAAGTTTCTTTTTGTAACTGTTTGTGAGAATAACTTGGCAATTATGGCTTCAGAGTGTTTAGGTAGTGTCCTGGATAATCGGATACTTACAAGTCTTCAAGCACTTACTGTGGTATGCTGATAACCATTTAAGGACAACAGCAACTGTCATTCATCTAATACTAAAGTCAAACTTAACAATTATTGAATTTTACTTCCCTAGCAACTGTCTCTTAATTCTGTGGTTGCTGCATAAGAGCCAGGCTCTATTTTCTGTTCTGCTTTTTTTAAAAAAACAAGCTAATTTTTCCATGTTAATTTAGGACTTCAATTCCAAAGTTCCAAATTTGACATTAAAGAAATTTCAATTTCAATTAAACCTGTAAAAGAAGCAGCAAATCTTTAAATGAGGTGTGCATTTAATTCAAAGAGCTTGTATTGACTGAATTTGAGCCAGAGGCATTCCTGTTAAGATTTTTCAGAGATCCAATTCCAGTAGAGTTGGTGGTACTTTATAACTACAGTTGCAGAAGGCTTTCTTAATTAAGAAAATAAACATGAAGCAAAGAACCTTCTTAAAACTAACTGGGCTTATTAAAGTGTAACTACTTAGAAAAACACTGGTGTGGGTAAGCTTTAGCTTTAGAGGCTTCTCATAGTAAGAATGTTTGTATTTTATAAAATCAAACTTCTGAACACCACAAACTGAGGATTTTTTTACTATTTTAAATACCAAATGATTTTGGCTAGGCCCTGTGTATCCTGCTTTAGATACTTTTATCAAGTGCTGATAATTGAATTGCTTCTTGAACTGTTGGAATGCCAATAAATATTTTAATGATGATCTGTCATCTTTGGTCTTTATCTGGTCACTTTAGAACTCTAGCATGCTTTAATTTAATCTTGGAATTGCTTTTCAGAGGAAATATTAATTCATGACCAGGATTCTATATACCTTGGGGTTTAAATCCATATTTTTGGAATGGCATATAGTAATGTTGCAGTGTATGGAGGGAGGAAGAAGTTGGGCTCTTGCCATGGATTAAAGCAGTGACAAGTGCTACTGTAGTTCAAATACTGGTCTTCATTAATGGAAAAAATTTAGTGCAAAAGTCCACTTGAGGTTAAGACCAGGAGACATTAGGTCTGGAACCACAGTTGACACCTTCATGTGTCAAGTGGTCCAAGATCTTGTAGATTAAGTACTCTTAATACCCTCTTTACCCATAATCTTCCAGGCACAAGATTTACAGCCCAGTCTTAGCTCTGCAAAATGGGCTCTGTTTTGGAGGTCCTTGGAGTCAGTGAAGAGGAAACTATTCTGCCCTAGTAGTTTGCCGAGGGGTAGCCCAGAAACCCCCTTGTCATCTGCAGTGCCTGTATATGCACAGGGCATCAAAACAGCCCTCGGGGGGAGAGGGGAAACTTGAATAAGAGCATAGATTATTCTGGGGAGGATTTTGGGGCAGAAGGGTCAAGTGGTGGGGTGGAAAGATGGAAGGTATACTGCTGCACTGAAAGCTTAAAAAACAAAACAAAAAAAAACAAACCACAACTTGGAAGGGGGGTGTGGCACAGTTTCTGTGGCACAAGCTCAGTATCTGAAAGTCTGAATAGTGCTGGGCAGGAACTTTCAGCTGCTGCTTTTTCCATGCCAAAGAATAGATGCCATCTGCCTGTTGTCAGTAGGGGGAACCCTCTTTCTTTTCCTGTTCCTTTGTTACGAAATGGAAGGCCGTCACTTTTACTGTCGGAAAAGGAGCTGCTTTCTTTAGTCCTATTTGATATAAAGAACAATTTTTAAAACCGTGACAAGTCTGCAGTAACAATAGTGGAGAATGCCTTCCTGTATTTTAATAGCTACTACTATAACAGTAATACTAGGTGGATGTCCCTGGTAGGACTTCTTACGGGGGATGAGGAGGAAGAAGATTTCATCTAGAGTTTAGCTACAGGGAACTGATTTTTACAGGTTCTTATTCTGGTGGGGCTGGCTTTTGCAAAAGTGAGAGAGGAAAGGTGAGGTTATATCTGAGAGTCTGTAAAAGAAATGTTGTATGTACTACTTCTGCCTTTGCTCACATGGATGTGTAGTCATCATGCGTAGTCCGGAAGTGCAGCTGCTCTTGTGTTTAATTCAGTGTCCAAAGAAGTCTTAGAATACGGGCTTATTAGCTGTCCTACAGATGTATTTCATAGTATTTATCACGTAGTATAGCATAGAGTTTGACAAAAATTGCATGGGGAAGGGAAGGCCTTGGAGATTAGAGCCAAAAGTCTTTATGATTTTTGGGTACCCAACTTTGTCAATACTTTGACCTGAGTTTTTATAGCTTTTAGTGTTACATCGCACTTCATACATTCACACTACATTTCATCTTGACTTCACCTGTGGCTTTTGCTATTTATCACTTTTGCATCAGAAGGGGAGTCAAATTCAGAATATGTGTAGAGGTAACATGTGAAAGGTCATGATTGTTTCCAGTTCAATTCTTCCAGAATAGCTGCCTGTACATGCTCTTCCTTAATATGCCTATCTTCTCTGTTCCACTTTCAAACTAGGTGACACGCAAGCTGTATGTTTAGTGTACATGCAATAGGGCCAGTATGAATAATAAGCTGGTAGGTTTTTTTTCTGTTCATATGATAATCAGTGAGAGCTCTAGCTCGTACACCAACAGTAAGGTTCTAGTCTCCAGGTCCTTGCCTTTCTTTGTCATTGCAGTAGCTCTAGTGATTATCTGGATCACCTTGTTCAAGCCCTTTAAGGTCAGACAAAAGTTACTGTTTTCTGTAGCTTGTCTGCTCCAGGTTATTGGAGAAACCTTTTCCTTTTGTTTGCTTTCCCAATGTTCTTCTGGCTGTTGCCAGTGGGAACTGCTATCCTAAACCCTCTAAGACTGGTTGAATGAGCTATATTTAGACTAAGCCTCATCAATCGGAGGACTGACATGTTATTTACTTCATGCACCATGTTCATCAATAGTAACCTAGTGACACAAATTTGCTGTTCTTATGAATGTGTTTGAGCAGCAATTATCAATGAACATAAATACCATGCAGCTGAGGTATTCCTGTTTGTATTTGGTACCATGGTGAAGAACTATGTGGCATGGCAGATGGTCAAGATGATGTGCAAAAGGGTAATTTGTAGTTTAGGTAGAAGATAGGTCATCTACCAAGAACCGGCTTTCTCCATGGCATACTGTTTAAGCTGACCATAGCACTGTGCCACCTCTCTCCCTTGTGTTTCATGTTTCAGGTGTGGCTGTTGATTGACAGACGGGATCCCTTCTGAGTGCCTAAGTTTTGGGCATATTTATGGGAATGAGAGCAAAAGGCTTGCTCGGTATCTTGTAGCATCAACCCCTTTTCAACAAAAAAAGGGAAGCTTTTTGTAGATTACATTTTTAGAAATTAAACTCTTGTTGCCTGTATTATTCCCACTAGGTGAAGTGAATACTGATGTCATGTTTTGTTTTTTCCTCTTCACCTACAGCATGAACAGGCTAAACACCTTGCCAAGGGGATTTGGCTCTTTACCAGCTCTGGAGGTTCTTGACTTGACTTACAACAACTTAAATGAAAATTCTCTACCAGGAAACTTCTTCTATCTGAGTAAGAAACTTTCGTAAAAACTCTACAAATTTTCATTATATGGTGCTTTACTTTCTGCAGTTGAAATTTATTTGATGGAGACCAAACTGAACAGAATTTTTCTGGTATTTATGCTTTTCTTGGAATATATCTTGAATATTTCTGCATAGCTCAACCATATTTATCACTGATACACAGTCACCTGACACCATTGGACATGAGAAGACTTGGTTAGTAATGATATATTAGTTTTCTTCTGAGTAATATTTCCTTGGGTCCCATACTCAGTTAAAACTTAAAACTTCATAGAAGCTTGCAAGGCTTAGGGGAAAGTTAACTGTTCTGCAAGGCAACTTTGTGTCTTGACTCTAGAAACAATTGTGTTCTTGATGGTTCATTAATGAAATAGTTTTAACAGCGTGTGGATGTTGAAGTGTTTTGTATGTTAAAAAATATGCTAAGGTTACAAAGCTTGGCACAGGAGTGGTAGAGTTAAGCTGACCTTTGCATGTGTTAAAAATATACACTCCCAGAATTCAAATAAAGGTATTGTAATACATATGTGCAAAATGGCTGCATTATGGTTGCCTAAGCAACCTGAATTCTGTCACTTTCTGGATTTCAGTGATTCTGCTACCTTACTGGTCTTTTCAGTGTAATATGCTGAAGTAGCTTCAGGATCAGTGCATTTAGCAGCAAAAGTGACAAGCGAGGAGAGAGGAAGGAGTGCCACTGTCTCAGAGATTTTGTGACTGTAACCTAGCAAAGGGAATTTTTAAGTTAGTGTTATTAAAAATGATCACATATAATGAAATGAAAAGAGGAGGAGTAGTAAACTGTGTAAGAGAAACAGGATCTCCTCTCTGGTGGGGAAGAGAGGTTTTGCTGACCTGACTACCTTCCTTTCTGCTGCACCCAACAGTTCTTTGTGAATCTCCATTTTAATTTATTTTTTTCAAACTGTCGTGTATGCTTGTTCAATACTAGCAAACTACATGGTTGTGCTGGGTCATCTCTTTTTCTGTGAATTTCATAGAGACTAAGCATGGAAATTACAAATTATACAATTTGAGTATTTCTGTATTGCTCTCTTTTCAGGTCTCTTTCCCAGTCTTAGGCTGTGTTTTCTATAGAGGTTAACATAGATGTGTATTTGTCAAAAAAAACTCAGATGATTTTTTTAAAATGTTTGTTTAGGATGCAAATTGATGTAATAAATAAGAATCGGGGATAATAGAGTAATGAGTGTATTCTGACAGCTGAGCACTGAGACTCATATGCCAGAACCTGCCAAAGTCTACTATTGTAGAAGTTGTTAATTGTGCCAGTCCTTTTGAATATAGATGTTTTCCTGAACTCACCAACAATACAATAAGCCAGTAAATCTAAGTTTGACCTGCTTGTTATTATTGTGAGCCCTGGGTATGTCAAAGGCTTTTCACCAAGTCAGGGTTATTAATCAAACCTGACTCCCTTTTATTGATTAGACCTCAAATGGTTGGGTTATATGCCACCCTGTTTATATATTGCTATTTAATTTGCAGCCACCCTGCGTGCACTCTATCTAAGTGACAACGATTTTGAAATCCTGCCGCCAGATATTGGGAAGCTCACAAAGTTGCAGATAGTAAGTAATTTATCTAAATTCTTGGAAAATCAATTCACTTTTGCAATGCTTGTAGGAATAGAATCTAGTCAATTTGAGGAGTAGTAGGGTATGTTTGCAGGAATAGACCACTACACCTGGAACTGTTTGTTGTTTACCAGCAGACACTTGTAAATAAATTGGAAGAATTGAGCATTTAGGAGAAAGGTGGGGGCAGAGTGAGTAGAGTTCTGTTTTAGGCTGCTTTATGGTAACCAAAAATTGTTCTGACTACTCTATATTCACTCTTAGCTGAGTCTTAGAGACAATGACCTGATATCACTGCCTAAAGAAATTGGTGAGCTCACTCAGCTTAAGGAACTTCATATCCAGGGAAATCGTCTTACCGTGCTGCCCCCAGAACTAGGTAAGATTATGGATGATCATTTATTTATTTGAAGAATAATGATAACGATGCACTGTTTCCTCTGAAACAAAACCGGTTAAACTCTAGGAAGTGATTATGCTTAAATCTTCATTGCTGCTAATATTTGTTTTCCCCTGAGAAACACTCACTTTGTCACTCCTATTGGATATGCAGGAGGGGCCAGGAGATGATGTGTGTTAGGTTTTATTACTTTTTTACATGTTACATTTTCCTTGTGTATTAGTACACCTGACTGCCAATTTGTATATAGCATCTTGCTTTATATAACATACCATAAATATTGAGTCTGCAAAGCTATTCTTGTCTCTGGCTGTGTTTTGATAACACTATATGGATCATCCAAAATTGTTAGGCAAAAATGATAGCAGTGTAAGTGGCTTTTTTTGTGACTGTTCCTGTAAAAAAGGAAGTTTGATAAACTAGAGTAAAATATAGCTAAATTAGGTTATTATTATAAATTAATAAGTTTTCGTTTTTCTGTTTCAGTAGCCTGCCTTTCTTAGTGAGTTGACAGCTCTTGCACTTAAAGCAGTGGAGCTGGTTGATGTACTTTGAATTTGTGATAATTGACCATTTAGTTATGATTGCAAGTGGCTTCTTTCAACCTATACAGTAGAGGTTTTCTTTGAAAAATAAGTAGTTATTTTGCAGAATTTGCATTGCAGGATTTAATTTTATATAAGGGGCATTAACTTCAACAGAGGTTGTTCCTGTTTGCCCCAAGTCAGAATTTGGTCTTAGATCTTTTACAAAAATCTTTACAAATACTTTTGGGAATAATGTAGCTGCATCAATTACCTGTTGTTGAAACACCTATTACACAGGGGTTTATTCCTTGTTTCTTGTTATTGTGGACTGTTACATAGGGAAGCTTCTTTGTTTCTACCAATACCTTCCAAATAATAGTTCCCAAAACTCAGAAAGAGAGTGACTGAAGTTAGCATGATAAAGCAAAATTATTCGTTGTCATAAGAACTTGCCTTGACCCATTAGAGAATGTGGCAGCTGTGTGCATAAATGTGACAGTCTCAATGTGTGCTTTTTGTTTTATGTAGCAAAGGAAGGTGTCTGCTTTTTTCTATGAGGTGAGGGAAGATTTGTTTGGACTCTACTTGTTTAACCCACCATGGTTTTCCTGCCTTTATCAGTCTAGCAGAGTATATGATGCTGAGTATTTATTTATTTTTTTTCCCTTCTCACCACTGGTAGGTGAAAGTTGTTCTTGTTTCCTTAATTTCAGATGTTTATTCTTTGACACAGGTATACTTTCTTTAGCCTTTTGTCAAAGTCATATTTATTTATAAAGTCTTTTTCAATAGCAATAACATTTCAGAAGCTTGTAGTATCTGTAAATGTATTTTTCTGGAGCTACCTAAACTATAGCCTTGAATTTTTTCAGAAAGTGGAAGCTAAATGCTGCACTGAGTCTAACAACCTTCTGTGGCTAATTAAATGTTCTAAACATGCTGCTGCCTTACAAGCATAACAGCAAATTCACTTTAAATGGTTTTACCATCATTGTCTAAAGCAAATGGAAATGTTTGAAAGAAAATTCTTGATGTTTATTTTGCACTGACCTGCAAAACTCAGGACAGCCGAGGGAAGAACAAACAAACATTTGTGTTATAGAACAATATCACAATCTGGTAGAAAAAGGACTTGTAATTTTGCCTCACCTGATCAGGATGAGGTGCACTGACGCAGCTTAAGTCTTTGTGACCTCTGTTCTTTATTACTGAAATGCTATTCTATAAATTGTACTTTCTTTTCATGTATTAATTTACTAATGTTTCTTTTTATGGTTTTACCAAGATCCTTATTCATGATCAGTTGGCGTAAGTTCTGTTGCAGTCTATGCCATGCATAGTGCTGGAACTATCTCAATATTTAAAATAGCCTAGATTTTGGGGTACAGTTCCAGAGAACATTACACTGAAGTCTAGATTTGTAACTTGTGCAACTTGCAAGCGTATTTACTGTGCAAAGCAATGTTCTTACTTGTTTCTTAAACATCTAGGCAAACATTGAGGGAATGGATTTTAGTAAATGGAGCACCAGGCTGGGCTTTGGAGGCCCTGTTTGAGATCAGGCAGGAGGAGGCTACAGGCAAACATGAATCTGCTGAATGACTTCACCTCTGCTGCCCGGTTTTCCCTTCTGCAAACTAGGGCAATTCAGAGCAGCAGTCCCCTCTGCCGACAGTTTTAAAGGCTGCCAATGAAAGGTGGTCTGCGAGTGTTACACCCTACTGAATGGACTGCGAATTCCATAGTCGCCATCTGAAGGAAAAACAATTTTATTTTCTGCCTCAGTTCTTCCTCCTAAATTTTAAAAATTGAATTATAATGTAAGGAGAACTACCCAAATAGTTTGTGCTGTGCATGTTGGATAAATGGTTTTTCAGTGAGCAGGTCCTACTTGCATTAATTGCAGGTACTGCTGTTCTATTTAAAGTAAACAATCTTTCCTCTCTTATTATCGCTTTCATAATTAAAGGTGCTGAAGGCTTAGTTTGGGCACTGGTGGACAGCAATGAGTCATTAGATGTTCATTTACCAGGGAAGTGGGCACAATAAAAGCACCAGAATAAAAGTGTATTTGAATGAGGAGAAAGGGGCAGCAGTACATGAAACTGTTTTTTAAAGGTAATGGAAATAAGTGCAGAAGAAGGCATGGAGAGTAGGGCATGAGAAAAGGCCACAGACAGGCTTTGGGATCACAATTTTGGAATGTAGAGAGATATCAATAAATAAAACCCTACAGTCTGCTCTTAATTTCACCTGATGTGATTGAGCGTGGCATGCACCGGTAAGAGGGCTGGGGGAAATCAGTATTAGCCTCCACTGTGCTTAGCAGAAAATACCTATCACTAATTTAAGAAAAATGTTCTTGCCCAGGAAGAAACGAGGGGCCTGGAGGAGCGTACTGGTGCTCTGGGTGAGGGTGCTTGTCTGTAAATACAGTACGTGTGAGTGATGAACGCAGGAAATGGCCGGCAGTAGGTGGGTGGAATTTGCAGCTTGTTTTTATCATTTGTCTCTCAAAACCGTGTTCATGAGGAATGGTGGTGGGCAGTCATATATAAACTTTAAAGAGGCGCTGGCATTTTTTTCCCTAGCATTTAAAAGGTTATGTGCTGCATTGCGAGACAAATAAATCATGATTCACTGCAACAACGGAGTTGCAGTCAGTTATATAAATTGCCAAGGAAGCACTAAATCTGTCACTTCGTGTATTCTGACCATTTAACAATTGGAATGGTGTTTGGAAAGAAAGCTGAGTAGAAACAAGAACCACATAAAGTGGCAGATGCAATTAGTAAGATCAATGATGGTGTTTTAAGTTCATTGTATGGTCATCTGGGTGGACCCATATGTACCTCATGAAAGATTTTCTTGGTGCAGTCAGGAGTGTAAGAGTAGTATATGGTGCAAAATATTCACAAAGTTGTAGCTAGAAGTAGCCACCCAGAGAATGTAACTAGTTTATCTGTAGGTTTGCGTTTTTGATGTGAAAACAAATGTCATGATTTTTTAAAACACAGATTCTAATGTTGACTGTGTTCTTTGCCCTGCCGCCAACACACATGTGCGCACACGTACATGGAGTTCACTCATGTTTATGAACGTGGGAAGAACAGTGATTTCTAAGGATGTATTTTTAATTACCATACTCTTTTTTTTCCAAAATGGAATGTTGGCATCAATTGCTTTTAGGTATACTATTCGATACTGTTCTAGTTTATCAAATAATTTCCTCAGGTAAAGGGAGACACTATCAAAACTGTGAAGTTAGGTACAAACTTGAAAAGTAAAAAATTCAAGCTCTTTAAAAACTAAAGAGGAAAAAATAAACCTTGATGGGGTAAGTAGCCATGTTCCTTTTTAAGGAGGGTGAAACATTTTGTAAATTAAATCTGTATGTCAGAATGGCTGAGTAACTCTTTAATAATTTTTTGGGTTTGAACAGCTAAATTACCTTCTGTGGATAAAGGATTGGCTTTAAATAGAAAGTTCAAGGAATCCTGCCAGAAGACTCAATATTTCCATCACAGGAACGCATTTTAAAATTTAGGTTTTCAAAATGACTCCAGAATTTGTGAATTAATACTATATTACACAAAGTAGTTGCTGCAGTTATTTGTTCAAACTAATATTAATTGAAATAGCAATTTACTTAGGTAATTATAATGGGCATGTGCAAACATAGGAATCACTTATTTCACAAAAGATATTTATTTTCTAAATATACTTGACATAAACAGCAAACTTTTCTTATTTCAGTATGAACTGTCGCTGCACTCTACCAGTGTTGCAACAGAATGCTGCTCACACCTGCAAATACAGGTCTGGGGTGCTTGTTGGAAGCCTGGACATCCTGGGGCTCTTTGGACACCAGCTCTGAGCACTGGAACAACTAATTGATACCTTGCAATTTTAAAAAAAACTACCTGTTTCTACTTCTGGAACTAAGACAAAGGTGGTGTAAGAAAGTAAGGGGCTTTACTGAACTTCCCAGTGACTAAACAAAGTAATTTGTTTTCTAGGACTACTGGTGTAGCAGTTACTAGTTAAGGAGAGTGTACATAACAAGATAGGTCATGGACAAATTATTTACATAAGAAAAGCATCTCTGAAAATTTGTTAATATTCTAATTGTGCTTCTCATTTTAGGCTTGTTTTAAGTTTAAAAAAAGGAAAAAAACTCATCACTTTTTATGTAGTTAGAAAACAGGCTGATTCCACAGAGTATTTGATGGGATTTAAGGTATATAGGAAGAGATGACAACTCTGCAGTTTCATTATACACAGAAAGATGTTTTCTATAGCCCATCATTTAGATTTACACCACAAGCATTCATTTCCTTGCACTGCTGTAATTCTTGACAAACTTCCCAAGGTTCAGATTAGATCTCACATTAGTTTTTAAAATATGCAAGTCCTACTGTTGCTTCTCAGATGACTACAGTGTGTGTGTGT